AATAGCGTACTGCATCTGAATGAAAACTATTAATTTTTACGAAGCAGAATTATTGTAATTTCATGAATGTGGCTTATCGTATTTCTACAATCGATGGGTCCATAGATGTGGATGATATGAAGTGTTGAGAATTTAATATGTGACAAGAAGGAGTGACGGTTTCACTAAAAAAAAAACTTATACAATACGATTATAGTCTGAAAAATAATGAAAATGCACTAGGACCATGATCCTGTTAAAATATTACGTTAATAACACCGTTTTAAAATATATCTATATCGATATACATACAATATACCCACAAACACACAGACACACAGACACACACATATATGTATAATGTATATACCAAAAATAAATATAATAACACATAAAATATTTAGTGGTTTTTATTTCAAACTTATGTTAAAATATTTAGGATTTTAAAAATTAAGTATGTAAAAAATATGTGATTTTATATTATCATCCATAAATATAATATAATCAATAACTACTCGTACAATATTCTAATGTGGATCATGATATTTCATAAATTATTAGATTCTTATACTTCGTTATAATAACACGTTTCAAACACACTGTTTAAATTGTACACAAATAGGTATATTTAAAATTGTTATTTTATTACTATTATTATTATTTTTAATGTATTTCTATCATAGGAATTTATTTGATTCAGAAATTTTAGTTTTAATTTAGATTTGTTTTTTTTTTTTTTTTTTTTAATTAAATCAAAGAACGTGCTTTAAAACCTAAACTTACTTAAAAGTATTTAACTTCATTTGAAGTTTTATTTTACCTGTTTTTTATTGTATGTTTGTATGTTTCACAAAGATGATATTAAAGACAAAAAAAAAAAAAAAAATAAGTTATAAGAAAGTAGAATTATGTGTTAGGTAAAGTTGTTTTAAAAAACTACATTACTTACAAAGTATAATGCATCGAACTTAATATGATTTCCTACGGGTACAATATCCAATTATTTATAATATACTATTACATCTTTTAAGGATAAAATGTAAGGTACTTTGTAAAGGTACTTTTGTACTATGCCAGTATCAATGAACAGCTATAATTTCAGTAATTTACATAAATTAAGTAAATGATTTAAGATTTTATGCTATACAACATCAACTGTACTAGTAGGTTGTTTGAAGTAAAATTATCAATATTGATTTATGAGGTAGTGCAAAAATACTTTTGGGAGAAAATGTCTATTAAATCAATCAGACATAATAAATTCATGACAATAATAATTATAATTATTATTATTATGAAATATTCGAACCCTTTCTTGATAAGAGTACAATAATCGAGTTCAACAATACTCTCAAAATATTGCGAGAAATAAATTATTGAAATATGAAAACAACTATTTGTAAACTCAACAAATACACATTTAAGTGCATGTAAATCGTGAAAGAGTTGTGACAGCTGTTAAAAATTGATGTGAACTGTCATAAAAATAAAACAGTATCTGATATATATTTATTAAAATTCTCTAAAAAATCATAGTATTAATTTATCTTGTAATTTTGAATTATTGGAGAGAAAAAAATTATTATTATTACCATAATGTCAATATTATAGAAACCGACTACAATAGTTATTGTAAAAAATATTAAGGATATAATTCTAATCATGAACATTTTAACAAAATTTAAAATTATTTCAACTCATAATATAAATACATAAGTTTTTTATACTATATGAATGTATTTAAAAAATATTTTGAATACAAATTTTAGTGATATATCAATAGTGTTATACTATCTGAAACATAGTGGAATCTTAGTTTAAATTTATTAAAACTCGTGTATTGTGCTTTTGCTCTTTAACAATATTTAATCGTGAATCAAAAAAATAAAAATAAATATTAATCTTTGAAAATAATTTAAAACAATTTTTATGCACGATTTTAAAAATTATTATACAATAATATCCATATATAGATTTAATATAAATTAGAAACATTTTGTATTTTTTTAATACTAATCAATTTTAATAAAAGCTTAAATTATTGCTAACCTTAGCAATATAAATTAATGATATCGTTAAAAAACTTAAAATTTGTTCTATATTGGTTAAAATAAAATAACATACTTATCTAGAATTTTTATATTTTATTTCAACATTTTAGATTATTTAAGTCATTTAAAACATCATCCATTATACAGTAGATTTATAATACTTATAAAATAAAAGTATTTTCTAAATAATGAATACGCCAATAACGTTGTTGTTAGATGCATGATTTTTATTTTTTATTTTGAAGAATGAGCTTATGTTACACAGCACTTGATCATGATACGAGACATATTACTCTTTTTATTGCTTTGAAATCTTTTAACCCCTAATGATTCATTATTGATCATTCAAACTATTCAGAGTGTACGAAAGTGCTCTTTGAAATAATGCATTATGATACGAGTATTTATGACTGATGACTTGTATACTAAACGCTGAACCATTCTGTCCAGATATTATTTTTAGAGATTGCAATATGAGAACGCGCGTAGACTAAAATATTGTTCTGGGGGAGTAATGTTAACGGGCAGATGCCTTTACGAAAAAGCCATGCAATTGATAATCTGTCATCGAGGCCATTGCACTTGCTTAGGATCAGGCGAACGGGCATATTCGGGTCACGTAAAATATTTTCGCGTTTGGCGGATGAAATGTATAAATGTCCAAGAAAAATATTACAAATGTGCGGCAACAAACTACGAGCTTTCTCATAACAATATAATATTGCAGACGGAGATAATTTATTTGGACGAGTAGTGGAGAGGTATTCTTTGAAGAAATTTAGTACTCCGTCAACTCGTGGAAGGGAGTGGGTGCAGCTTTTCCGTTCGTCGAGTAGCTGGATTTAATTAAAGGATATTGTTGAATTTCAACAGCACTAACAACCGTGCTTGCTACCCAACATTTCTCCATCACGGTAAGAAATAATGAGCAAACAGCACCAGTCATGGCGGATACGTTTATGTGTAAGTATAACTATGGGTTCTGTCGCCGCCACCACTCTGAAGTCATAGTGCAAAACAAAATGGAATTTAATCGACTGTATAAGGAACGTTAGAGGTGTGAAGAACGTTAAAATGTAATAAACGAAAAACCGTCATTCGCGCCCTCACCAACCCCTAATCCACTACCTGAAGGGGTGGACATTAAATATATAAGTTGCATTAAAAGTCCATTATATTATACTATACCAGTCAACAATGGTCAGTTTATCAAATAACACACGAAAGACCATGACAGGAAAATAGCGCGAATCAACTACGATTATGATAAAACGAATATTTAGGGGTAGAATAATTTTAGAGATTACCTGATGAACATATCTATTTATATATTACGTATCACATGTATATTATGAAATTTACAATCTAATAACTATAATAATTTTAATATTTAATGATTTTCAGACAGTGTATTGATTTTTTTATATGTAAACATTGTGACAATACAAGAAAATACTCAATATACTGTGTATAATATATATATATATATATATATATTATATTTTATTAATATAGGTGTATAATTTTGGAAAACCTTCAAATATTTAATATTATTTTCAGGTATAACAATAAATAGGTTTTACATAAAATTTTGAAAAACTCTATTATTACACATTTTAAATTAAATGATTTCACTTATTTTTTATATCATGAAGAACAATATACATATAACTTTATACATAAAATTAAATTGAATAATACGTATGTATTGTGAACTAACTTTATATATTTTTCGGTGTGAAAAATGATCAATTATAAAATATAGCACTCATTGCTTGATATATTTCTGTAATTTAAAGTGTAATAAACTCATAAGCGAATTATTATAAACAGTTTAGATGTATTCACGAAAATCAACAATAAGTGTAAACAACACAATTTTTAAGTCCTGTCAAATGAGTGGTACTCTAGATATTTTTGACTGATGGTTTTATGGATGACAGACTTATACCTATATCCTCAATTAATTTGCCTGAGACAGGCAAGAGTTGAAACTCAATAAAGCCATGGTTATAATCTGCAGCGTATTTCCCTGTGTAAATTAAATAAAAAAAGCACTTGTTAATTGGATAATTGTTTCCATACACAATATAGATAGTTACAAATAAAATGTTGCATTCTATTTTAAAATTTTTTTTTAATTTTTACGCAGAAAATATAATACAGGAAAAAGAAATACTAAAATGCAATTTTAGGAGCCTAAATCACTCCGTGTAAACTATTCTATCTGAAAATGTTGGTTTAACCGTTCCAAAGATTAACCAAGACTTCATGTAAATTGAGACAAATATGACCTTAAATTGTATTTATTTATGTATAATAGTATTAAACTATAGATTTATTTCTATGTTTATTGTATATTTATTAATATTAATTTGAATTTGAATTGATAATTAGTATATCATATTAACGCTTAAGCTTAAGTACTATGAGTAAAAATTTTTATATTTTTTTCAGTATTACAACCCTATACATCTTATATGCCTATTCAATATTTTCAATTCAAAATATTGTACAATATAAATGACATATTTAATGACCAAAGTATACTGTTTAATGTTTTCTAGTATTTAGAATATATATTTATTTTTTTTTTGTTTATTTATTCAAAACGGTTTTCTATACCTATTTCTTGGATATTTGCACCAATGGATACACAGAAATAATTAAAGTAAAAATTTTAAATTTTTTGTCTATAACCATTGCTTGGGTAAGAGTTTTTATATTATAGTGATAATCGAACTTTAGTTAGTAAATACAAAATAATATTATGACGTTCGAAAACGTTAAGATTTCAATAGATTATAATAAATTGCAAATCAAATTTTAACGATTAATCTAGAGTATAGACTTTTTGATGTATATTTTTAGATTATTATAATTTTTATTTTTTTGACAAAACTTCTGCCATAATGATGTGGTATTAAATTGAACAACTGTAAAACACTATTATTAGAACTAGGTACTTACCTTATCGTCGCCCATTTGTAGGACGTCGTGCACACCATCCAATGTAGTCAAGAAGTGGTACAAGTTGCCGCCCAAACTCTTCAGAGCTTGAATTTGCCGGTCGTTGCGGCATTCTTGTATGAGCGTCGCACCCACAGTTTCGATTACTTTGGCACCGTCACCTGCCGGGCGGGGAAAAAAGTCAAATAAATTATCCACAATGTCATTGGCAGATATTTTACTTTATTTTGTTGTTCTAAACGTAAAAATTACTACGACAAAAAAAAATGTATATTAATAGTGCAATAAAGTAGATTTTGTTTATAATAATAATAATAATAATAATAATGAAAGGTATAGAAAATGATTTGGAACTCAACAAGAATAATAAACCATACCATAATAATATGATTTATTTTTTACTTGAGTTATCAGCCCGTGTCAAAATATTTTCCATACAAATTTTAAAAGTACGCCAACACGCGCTTAAGTCTTGATTGCCACCCAAATACATAATATAAAATGTTGCATTTTGTTTTTTTGTGAATATAATACGTGTATAATTATTATTTATAAAATATTATACATTTTTATTTATTATATTTTTTTTTTCAAAATAATTAAACAAATGAAACTTTTTAAATATGATTTATGGTTTTTTTACTAACTTTCTAATGGATTAAAACTACTCAGCAGCATCAGCAATTGCTCTTAATCCTCTAGCTATAATTCTGGTTTAAAATAGAATTAAAACATCAGAATTGTTTTGAAATTCTCTCTATCTTTTGGCTGCTTAGAATAAGTACTTATTTATTTGTATATGTATAGATATAAACATCAGAGACCTCTCAAGACTTTAAATAGAGAATACAGTTCTTTCTTAATGAACCTTTTCTGGAGTGTTACTCTAATCAAAACACTTCAAACAAAAATTTAAGTTCACCTTTCAAACTCAATATAAAATTAATTATCTACCCTTATTCTTTAGATTTAGTAGTAATATGTACTATGTTGTATTTTTTATTTAAAATTTGTAATAAAAATTAAATTTGTGATAAAACAAAAACAATACTTTTCAATAAATATTTTGTATTTTAAGAATCTAAATTATTTATAAAATTTTCATTACAAATTTATTTAAGTTTTTATTCTATTAAAATTTGAATTAATCAATTTATTATTTTGAATATGAAAGTCGATAATTTTTATTATTTAGATAGAAAAAATTAAATAATGTTTCCCTCATTCAGAACTTATAACTTGAATTTATTTCAATGACTAGGTACGTAGTTAAAAGATAATGCTATATAAATTGTTATTTATAAAATAAAAAACAAATATATTTTACATTATATTTTTTAAAAACGAAATAATTATTAAATCGTGTTCCACAATATATCTACAGAATAAAAATTCCTTTTTACAAATTTTGGTTTTATAAAATAATTTTAATACCCAAAATACTATTATAGCCTATAGTACTGTCCATAAAATACATTTTGTAACTTAGAATTTTTAAAAATTTGGAAAACGTTAATTATTTTTAAAAATTTGAATTAATTAATTCAAAATATATAAATAAATAAGTATATAAACAATTTCATTAAATATCATTTAAAAAAAAAGAAAAAATAATAATTATTTCCTTTATTCTATTCTCGAAAAATTATTAAAATATCATTGAGTTATTATTTCAAAATATTTAATTGTATAATGTAATAAACATATTGAAAAACTATAAAATATTTTTATGAATTCGCATATTATCATATGTACGTTGATGTATTATATATTGCTTGAAATTTGTAGATACTAAACATTTTTTTTTCTGTTTAATAGTTGATTTATAATGAAATAAATATCTCTGTATATCCATAAAAAAAGGACGAAACCCACAATAATAGTTGTATCTATATCATATATAGTTTGAAATATATCTATTACAAACCAATTTGTCTATGTATATAATATATTAATATAACAGCATGTTTAATACTGATTAATTTCAATTTGAATAATTATACAATTCAATAAAATAATCTAGTTTAATCGTTAAAAATCATATGCATGTAATATGCATTAAATATATATTATATTTTGTAATGAGTAATCAAATATAAAATAAAAAAAAGTTCATGTTAAATATGTTTAACATTATAATTGACTTGGTGCAAAATTAATGTATTCTTAAATTTTAATACTACGTGTGGAATCTATGTGGACTGATTGTGGATTGAGGCGTAGAATATATTTTATAGTTAATTTATTTGTTTCTACAATTATTATTAAATATTACCATAAGGGTTATCACTTATTCAAAGTCAATTTTTAAGTTCAATTATTTCCATAACTTTAAAAAGTAAATGTTCTTGATTATCCTGTTTATTTATTTTATATTTACCGAATATTGTGTATGAATATTTAATGTATATAATTCTTTTCTAAGAGTATAGGTTAAATTCAAATTCAGAATATGGTATTTAATATGATTATGTTCAATCTTATCATTGCATATATATTCTTTCACATGCTTACACACTATACGCTATAATATAAACACCTCTATTTATATTACTATTTTTATTTAAAAAAATTAATTATTTTTAATATTTTTGGATTTATTTTATATCGTATTACATAATTTTGAAACTAAAATTGATATCACAAAACAATGTGCATTCATTTTGAATACCTATATATAATAATATGTAGGTATAATGTAAAATAACTTGTAAAGTTTAGTTATTTTATACAGCAACATTGTACAATTTGCAATGTGTACAAAAATCGCTGTACAAATCGCGAAATGTACAATTCTGGAGTTTTATGTAACATATATATGTATTTCACTGGTATATCTGACTATCTTGTGTATTAATAAATTTTATCATAACTTAAAAAAAAAATATTCTCTTTTTTAGTTGTTATTTTTAAAAATACCATATTTTGTTTAAATAACTACTAAATCATATTAAATAAACAATATACTTTTACGATTATCTAAAATAAAATAGTGTGATTTGTTCATATACAATTGATAATTATAATTTATTCAGATGTCTAATATATTTTACACTATTGTGATAAAATTTCTTTAACCCTAAAATATTTCAAATAAATAATATATATATATATATATATATAATATTAAATGTTAAAATAACAATAATTGTATTTATCTACTGAAAATAATTATAATACTGTTTTTATAAATACAAATGAGTATGTTAAACTAATATTTATAAGAACTAACTCGATTGTCATCTTATCCATAATTAATATCAAGAATATAAAATTATTCATGGTAATATACAAATTAAACTTAGGATATGTACAACTCATAGCTGTTTTATATATCGTATATAATATAATATTAATCATTGTGAAAAAAAAAAAAATAATAACGTTTAAACTTAAAATACAATAAAATAAACATTTTAAGTGTAATGTATTTTGTATAACTATAATAAGATAAATTAAAAAAAAAAAAAAAAAAAAAAAAAAAAACATTAATACTCGTTACATGATAATTTTTATTATAAATAAACAGATAATAATTTATATAGATGTAATAATATCATATAAAGTATATGTAATTATTTTTCATTATGTAAATAGTGCCTTTAACATATTTGCGCGTAAGTTATGATATTATGTTTACTTAATTATTCAATTTAAATAAGTAGTTATTCAAAGTTAGAACTACAAAGCACAAGTTCATCAAAAACTTTGAGAGCAGCATTACACAAATATATTCACTAGTTCATATTTTATCGTTACTTATGAAAAATATGATGGCTTATAGAAAAATTATCTAAATTGTTGAATGTTTTAACTGAAAGTTAAAAATCGTAATTTATAGATTTACAATAAAAATTCGACACTATATAGTTTTTGTCATTCTTAATTTTCTCACTTTAGTTTGTAATGCAAAATCACGACTCAAGAACATATCGTTATGGTATCCATATTATATTATACTATTTTATTTAAAATTTAACAATTGACAAACGACATCAATTCTAATACGTTTATAGTTCGAATAAAATTGTCTACTGTCCTAACATGCAATTAATGACAAAAATACTATCTTTTTGAAAATAAATTATCTAATATTCATATATGACGTAATATTTGTAACTTTGAATAGGTAATGTAAACTGAAACTATTTTCGAATAGATTCAAGCATATTTTGTTTTATCTTGATCAAATATAGTTGTTTTGAGTTTCTGGTAGTGTTCTCTAAATGTACTTAAAGTAGAAACATTTCAAGTTGTTTCCATATCAAAATTTTTGCTTCATAAAGTAAACATTAATAGTTTACAAAACGTGATAATAAATATTATTGTTAAAACTATTAACGGATTTAATGCATTGATAAATTATTTTAACTATATCGGTATTGTATACTATAGATATTTTATCGTCACACAGTAGGGTTAAAGTGACGAAATTTTGTTTTACGAAATATTTATTAAAAATCATTGGTCACTGTGTGGGTGCGCGGTTGGTGACCTCATCAATGTTGGTAGTTTGTGGCTACAGCGGTTGAAACGGATTATGTCTCCCGATCTTGTTTTGCCATTTAGTTTCCGATAAATCAACAAATCTGAAAACAGCAACTGCCCTACCTACTGCCACTAATGTCACTGATTTATTTATTGGTTCGTCTGTGGTACGAGCTTTTGGAGACCGATCAGATTGTAACTGTGAGCACCTGCTGCGCGTTTCGACGAGATTTCCCAATCATGTAGGCGCAAACTCGACAAAATCCAAAAATCCATACTCATAAAAATAAATATCTATTTTAAATATTTAGAGGTAACTATACGTGTTTTTTCACCGCTAAAATCTATATTCGAGAACGACCTTGTAATTAGTATGATAGCATTAGCTGAACATGTAATAACTGATATACACTGTGTTCCATGTCATTTCAGAATATATAGTATATTATTATAGATGTAGGTACATTTTACATACAATAATATTCAGTTTAGATAAAAATTTTTAATTTTCACATATTGACATAAAATTTTAAAAATAGCTCGTTGTTAAAGATATTTTTATTTTTTTTTTTGTGTTTATTGTTAGATTGTATTTATTTACAACTATTTTCCTTGTTGGTTATTATTTATAAATTATGATAATTATCTATTTATAAAATACTTTCAAAATGTT